AACGGTAATTCGAAAGAAACGCACGTCCTGTTTCGTAAGGACTAAGTTGTAATGTAAATAAACGCGCCTACCGAATTTATCGGTCGTTTGTTCAAATGAAATATTATCGCTTCTGACACGCGTGAAAAATGTAGAATGTACGCGTAGAAAATTGATAAACTCAATAGACATAAAATTTATCAAGCCAAATAAGATAAATAAATAATGGTGAATTTCACATGCGATGGCGCAATTCTGATCAAATTTTAACATTACACACTACTCGAAGCAGGAGTTATATTGATTGAATCGCAAATAATTCCATATCTTGATTTCAATATAATAACAAACTAAAGCATTTATATCTGTATCTTCTAATGATTCAGAGTAAATATAAAAGAGAGAAATATACAGTATACAGTACATCTTAAAAATTCTGTTATGTAATACGGTAATTCAAAAATACGATCTCCTGATTATTTCGAGCAATGTGTAAAAACAGTATAATTAAATCGCATTGATTTTATCGAGATATTACAAACACCCATCACCATAAAAATGTCTTTTCTTTTCTGACTCACCGATACACAGCAGACAGAGTCAGCCGCGTTCTGCTGCGGATCTGTAACAAAAAATATAGTTTCGTTAGTTAAACCATTAGGTTAAAAGTTAGGTTAGGTTGAGTTCAGTTCGCGGAAGCGCGCGCGTGCAGATACAAATGTTGATTCTTTGCCATTGCAATTCAACAGTTTTTATTTCAATCGCTCGGTTTTCGATTGCAATAAATCAAGAAATGTATAAACGATCGGTGAACCTCACCTTCAAGCCGACTCTGCTCGGCCCGAACCGGATCCTCCGGTGCGGCATCGATATCCGTTGAAACTGCGTCCCGGTAACCGCAGCTATCGCGTGGTCGCAAACTCCAGCAGATCTGTAACAAAAAGCGAGTTTCTTCATTAGTATTGCAGCGACAAATGCGCCCCGCATCAAGAGTACGAAGATTCGAGAATACAAATTAGCTTCTTCAACTTAACCAAGTTAACCAATAAAAGTTTACCTTTAAAGACCATGAAACACTGCTATTGCTCAAGATGTTCTGGATCGTCACGCACGCACACACACACATACACACGCACGCACACACACGCACGAATATTACACGCTATACGCGCGCGTACATTGTGATCGAGTGTGAAAATTCGGAAATTATTACGCGCGGCGATCCGCCGATCCGTCCGCCGCCGCGGCGTAAACAATAATGGAGACGGTCGCGGCAATTGCGTACTTATGAACATGTTGTTTTCAAAGTCGCGCGACCTTGTCCTGCCGAGACGCGTCTCAGAGAGCCCGTAACGTTGTATAAAATTTACCTTTTTAAACAAAAAGGTAAAAAAAGGCGTCAAGTACACGCGCAACACGTACTGTGTTATTTTTAGAAATTCCAAATTATTTTTTTTCAAGTTATATATGTAATATAAAATTTTAGAAGTAAAATTTAAAACTATAATAAAACTCTATAATACTACTTTACAAAAGAAATGATATAAACGGCAATGTTTACGTTTTTAGTACTGTGCATGTCGTACCGTATCTGAGCGTGTATCTTTGGGCAATATAATTTATTATTTTCGTTATACAAGTAATAAGTTTATACAAGTAAAACTTATATCTCTAACAATAAATTCTTCTATTGAATACTATCAATAAAACTCTACAAAACTGTTCTACAAAAAAATGATAACAAAACAATAGCATCAACTGAAAAACTTTACTCATCATCAGCTTTGCAAATGAGAGCGATTTGCAATCTGAACATAAATGCATCGAAAACTCCCAATGATACACAGTCCGGTACTTCAAAAACAGTCTTCATTATTTACTAAAACACTGAGTTTTATGGTTATTTTACTTATTATTATAATAAATTAGTTAATATAACAATACAATAAAAAATATTTAATGCAAAAAATCTTGGCTTCTCTCTCTCTCTCTCTTTCTCTCTCCTCTCTTTCTTTCGCTCTCTTTCTCTTTCTCATACATTTCTGCTCCTGTATTCTAGCAATATTCTTCTCTCTCTTACTCTCTATCGCTTGCTTACTCGCACTCACTGCTTCTTCAGCGCGCTTATAATACCTCTGGTGTCGGAAAAGTGAGATGCACAAATCCCCTTTCCTCTGCGGTCTAGCATTTCTAAAGGCCATCACATACAAATGAACGTAAGCAGTAAGACGTAAGCAGTAAAGAAACTGACCAATCACGATCAATTATTCTCGTAAGTTTTCAAATGGCGTCTTTAAATTTCGATTGTGATTGATCGATTTGCTTACTGCTTACGTCTTACTACTTAAGTTCGTTAGTGTGTGATCGCCTTTACTTTCTTACCGAATCGAAATTTTTCGTGATTTGGACTTTATTTTAAAATATCGATATTTAGAGACAACGTACACAAAAACACAAGAACACTTTTCTTCCTATTTTTTAAGGCCGAATCGATTGGGACTGAGAAAACCTCGATCGGTTTAGCCATTGCTGAGATATGAATATCTCACCTCGTTTCAACTCGCAGTTTAATATACAAGGTAATATATGTAATATCGTTCGGGCGCAACTTCGTTGCGATTGAACTTGGCGCGAGGCAGTACCGTGCCTTTTGATTATATTTTATTGTAAAGTATGCTATATTTTTAAAATAAAAAATTATTGTTGTATACTGACAAGGTTATAAGAAATAAAGAAATTACAGTCTAAATTTCTTCGAATGAAAAGAACGAATATTTTTACTCAAGCAATAATAAAAATATTTCCTTACAAGGCCCTTATAATATTGATTTATAAGGACCCGTTAAACGATTTGTTACACATCTTGTACAGAATCCACCGAGAAGAAAAGTGCCGGAATCTTTAAAGCATCGATTGTACATGGGCGATTTTCTGATTTCCAGCGCGACAGCGGAAATAGCGGTGGTGGCAATTGTAATCGAATCAAATTCGAGCAAAATGTTGAGCTAATGCAATCTAGACACAATCGTCGACTGGCGAATCTTCAATATTTGCCTTTACTCTTCAGATTGCCTATTAAGATCCAAAGGAAGTTTCGAGAATTTGTACAGTAAAACTGACGATCCTACCAGCATTACCCAGGGTAAGAAGTGGATTCGATGAATCTAACGATCGCAAATAAGCTTAATGGTCCGTTCTAATTAGAAGTAAGATCCATTATCGCCGCCAAATACCAGGCGAAATCCGTAGAGACCGCATCAACTATCCAATTCCGGCCGTTAGTTGACTTTTAACAAGTCACGAGCTCGACAATAGGTGGAAAAAAGACAAAGACACGGTAAGAGGTCATGAAAGAGCGCCAAAGAGAAAAAGAGAGAGAGAGAGAGAGAGACTCGGCTACCTCGATTAAATAATTGCGACAGCGGTTAATTAAGTTTACGTCTATCGAATCGCTTCCCAAAGTTAATCCCTTCACTCTGCCGCGGCACCGGCTCGTTAACTTCGCTAACTTCGATCAAACCCTTTCTCTTTCGAGGAGCGCGACGCGAGGAATCGTGAGGCAACGCCAAATCCGAAAACGACAGCTTGAAGCAGGCATTCCGTGGCGAAAAGGAACTCGCCCGACTTGTTGTGAATTTTCGAAAATATCTCGGCACGTGCGCGATATTATTATCCTCAAGAAATCGCTGTCCACTGCCGAGCTTCTTTCGGTGATTGTTAATTTTTCTCTCGTCCGATAACTTCAGCGATTATGTAATGTTCGATAGCGTTATAGCCGAACGCAGGCGCTTAGCGAGCGCCAAGTTTCTTTACAATATCATAAAGGGCAATATTGTTCTAGTTTGCTCCTTAGTTAACTTCAATACTTGTCCTACATCGTATCGTATGGTTCCCCTGTTACGACTTGGTTTGTTCAGGACTAATTTGTCTCACACAGTTCCCGTTACGCGTACGTATAACACAAATACTTTTACTATAAAACGAACATAGTAAATTTTTTATTAATTCCTGGCTCTCCCCACCGCGAAACTACCGACTGACGTTAGAAGCAAGAGAATGCTTGAAAAAGATCCTTGCAAAATACGCTGAAATGAAAAGTTTGTTTCATCGTCACAGTGATGTCAATCGAGATGTATAAAATAGCTCGGAAAACAGTCGAGAAAATATCATATCTGTGCAACGAGAAGAATTACCGAAATTGCGAGAAGCAACAAATTTACAATGCTTTTTATTACACGTACAGTCTGTCTGATGCCCGGCATAACTCGAAAGCAATTTATTGTAATGACTTGGAAAAAAATACACACACACTGCTTGATTAGAATTGTGATGCTTTATCATTGATAATTTGTCGCCTCCATTATCAATAATTGCGTGGCATTTTTCTATTAATTTTATCGTATGTTCTTGAGTTAAAGATTTCCAAATCAATCAAATTTATTGAACCAACTTCTCTTGACTTTCTACATTTTCTTCCCACGGAACTTAAGCTTCATCAATGCCCGAATATTTTCGATAGAATTTATATTCGGCCAATCCCCATTGTCACCGAAATTATGACGATTTTTCATTTTTGCGTCCGCCATATTGGACCCGCCATCTTGAATTTCGAAAATCTGATAACGGATTCGTCATCAGCGACCCCAGAAACCCCCGTATATAAATTTTCATGTGATTCGGATTTTCTGAAAATTACGTGCCTCGAAGGGTTAACGCACAATACTCGCAGACGTGAGAGAGCGCACCATCGTCTTGGAGGGCGCAGCTCATGTAAATCGCGCATTCGCACTTAATCATTCAGCACTTAGCTCTCAGCAAAAGGTGAACTCTGGTCTCCTTCCCCCATCCCTCTTCCTGCAGTCTAATAGTTACCTCAAGGGAGGCCGGTGTGACCCTGATGCTCGTAGATAAACTTAATGGTTCCGGGCTAATTAGGCCGGAAAGTCCGGAGCCGACGGCATTAGCGGCATGCGCACCTTTCGTGCTGCAGGAATAATTTGGCCCGCTACTTCCTGCCGCAGGAGAGCCTCAGGAGACGAAGCGAGCCGCCGACCAACGTCATCCTCGCGCACTCCGCACCCTGGACCGTCGTGAATCGGAATTCCGCGAGCTAGTCTGAACGAACGAGAGTGCCAGCGTCATCGTCGTCGCGTTGAGCGCCCTTTCTACGCCAGAGACGAAGGCCCAATGCGACCAAGAGCTTTCACCCTGCACCTGCTGAGCTTCCCTTGGATCGTGACGAAGGTAAGGAAAGAGAGATGCGCGACACGCCGCTCGCAATCGGGATCAGCTTTGAAGGGGATGTGAATATCGAGGCGAAAAAGCGGAGCCCGTCTCAGTTATCGCGAGACTGAGATCGACGTTGCACGAAATGATGTGGCTCATCCTTTTAAGGCTCTTTATTACTCACCACGGCCATCTTGACTTGTGACGCCACGTTGAGCGAGGAAAAATGCACGCTCTCAAAATCCTTGCAGAAAATGGATTTGAATAGGAAAATATGGTCGTACAATGTGTAGACGCTGTGAAACAGTCCCAACAGTTCCCTTTCGGTCTAACAAGCGACACATTTTTACGAGTACTTTTTGCCTTTCTAATCTATCCTTCGCCATGACGCCATCGCGTTAATTTTACGATAATTTCTTGATTGTTGAAGCGAAAGGGAAATCTTTTCGGGTTCCTTTATAAATCGGCTCGGTCGATTGCAAGCGTCACTCTATGAACATAATCTTTCGTCGCAACGTATTTTGCAGGGATTTTGAGCGTGTAACTTCCCACTTCTGACGTCTTCAATCAAGCCGCATCGGGCGTAGCCAAGAGCTCCTTAACCCTTAAAAACTACCATGGATGAGACTTCACCCCATGCGAATTTCGTTTCATTCTTATTAAATGTTAACCTATCCGCTGCACAGACAATAACTTCTCTATTTTTTATTTAATATTCAATAAAAATAAAATATTTAATTGCATTGGTTTGACTTTTTTATTTCTGAAATAAAAATATATACCGGAATGAAATTTCAGCCAAATGATAGCATTAACGTGATTGTCCTTGATGGTAGCTTTTAAGAGTTAACGGCCCAATTAGCCGACTTGGACAATAAAGAAAGCCAATCGCAAAGCGGCTGTAGATCTATCCTGTTTATTTTTAACGACAGCACCGTTATCTCGTTACGTTGTCGTCTCGCGCAGCTTCTCCGCCATACGTTGTGCGTGCGTGCAACGAGAACGTAACGATAAAACGGCGCTGCCGTTAAAAGTTACAGAACAGATCAGCCGAAGAGATAATCCGTCGGGCGACGTTGATCGAACGACAATACTACCGACGGAATCGTATGTTGCATGGTTCATCAATTCGAGCTCCCCGCGTTTGCTCTCTTCCTTTTGCTATCTCCTAGTGAGCCGATCCACCGGTTGAGCGGCCCGCACCAGCCGCTTTCAGCAAACCGCAATCGGACGCTGCAAAGTTTCAATCCGAAGCTCATGATCCCAGCGCGGGTCGGGCGGAAGCTCGTCAAAGACACAGATCAGCCGCAATAGCCGATCGCGACGCGGCCTCGTAAGAACCCGAGAGCGATAATAAAACGGAATTTCCATTTGGGTGCCCCTCCGGCTCGTTAAAGTAAAGATGGAATAAACTATCGCCGAGCATGTCGATTCCATTACCCGCCGCCACGGCCACGCTCGTTTGTCGAACGGGGAGGGAAGACACAGAGGGGAGACTGTACCGACAGAGAGAGAGAGAGAGAGAGAGAGAGAGAGAGAGAGAGAGAGAGAGAGAGAGAGAGAGAGAGAGAGAGAGAGAGAAGAGAGAGAGAGAGAGAGAGAGAGAGAGAGAGAGAGAGAGAGAGAAGGGGGGAGGGATGTTCTATTATACCGAATAGCTAGCAAGTTCTCCGCCCCTCACTGCCCTCTCAGGAAAGACAGAAGACAGAAGGCAAAAACGTGAGAGGAAGCAGAGTAGGGATGAGAGGAGAGAACGTGTGGTAGACACGGACGAGGGGACCACCAAAAGAGAGAGAGAGGGAGAAGCCTTTTGGTCTCGATGCTTTATCCATTACCCGCGATACCGCAAGCAACAACCGTATCGAAACGATATTGCGACCGCGACGAGAGAGGAAAGTTTCGTGGAAAACTGCATCGTCTTCTTCTTCTTCTTCTTCTTCTTCTTCTTCTTCTTCTTCTTCTTCTTTCTCCTCCTCCTCCTCTTCCTCTTGGTGCACCACTTCCCTTTCGACGTTCTTTACACACTCTGAGAGCGAACCGCTGAGATTGTCGAACTTCCACGCAACTTCGACGACGATGATTATCGTGAGTGTACTCTAATGCCTAATGTGCCTTAAAAATAGAGGTTTAACCTCCTGCTGTCTCTCTCCCCCGTTCGTCCCTCTCTATCTCTCTCGCACTCTTACTCTCCAGGTATTACGATATAACCCCGCAAAAAGTTCGAATATAGTTCTAAGGGGTATCCGATGAGCTGAACTTTTTGTAGCACATTTCTCTAAGTATGGGAAAGGTAAATATAAAATATTAGCCCCCTCCGCCCCGGCAATTAAACAGAAGCCGAGTTTAACGAGTTTTGCTTCCTAACCATTGGACACACTTTTTGACTTCTACATCAACATTTAAAGAATTTAAGTGTTATTTCCATGATTCCGCAAAAAGTTATTGAACAAATAAAGTTAGCAATTTAAACGATCTCTCTCTGAAACCTAACCTAATCTAATTTAATCTAACCTAAAAACCTACGACATACTTGAGCATAAAAGATACAATCGCCTTAGAGTGAACCACAGCGTCGAGTTTGTTTGCAAAGAAACCGGTACTAACACCCAGATGATTGACTTCCAGAGGATACCTTTACTACTCAGGTTGCAAAGAGGCAGTGTTCCATCAGAGCAAGTCGATTATCATATCTGCGAGTATCTTTGGTGGCGAGAGGTGCGTCCAGTGAACCTTGATCCGTTCTAAGAACTGATTAAAACAATTAGACAAAATCGCGGCAAAAGTTGTTGAACAGATCTGTCGCTAAAAAGCAAAACCCCTCAAATTCGGATTCTACTATCGATAAACAACTGATAAACAATTGCCGAGACTAATATTTTACATTTAACATTCCCACACCTATATAAGTGTATTGGAAAAACTTCAGCTCGCTAGCTCATAGAGACCCCTCGGAACTACAAACAAAGGTTCTTCCGCTGAGCTGAAATCCGAGAATCAATTCGGACTGATACGGCTTCGTTCGTTTCATCTATGCAACTCGCAATGGAATTTCTCCCTCGAATTATTATCTTTGAAGTTTCATCGTTAATTCTATACATATACATATCCATGTTACAAATATAAAAATTCCGCACGTATATCTCATGTTCATTTCTTTCATAAAAAAAAACTTTCAAAAATTATAAACGCAAAAATCGAATTTCGAAGCAGAAGTCTTGCTTCAGCAGAAGTTAATTTAATTTTAGCGCAAAGTTTAAAGAGCTCTCCCTCTCCCTCTCTCTTTCTCTATCAGAATATCAGGTACTTTGACCTTGACATGAGTAGTATTCGCTGGGATATTTGAGAGGGTCCTTTAAAATGGAACACTCTGTGTAACCCTGTGTAACAGGAAAAATCATAGCATATTAAGGATACTGCCCAGAATATAGGATGACCATGGAAAGAGAGAGACGATAAAGAACAGAATAATGAACATGCGACCAAAGAGCGACCAAAGATGGAAAAACGGGGGCGATGCGAAGGACGAGATGGAAAACGGAGGACAGAGAGTCGGACAAAGAATGTTCGAAGAATCAAGACAACTTTGTTGTCGTGTCGAAGATGTTTATTTCACAAAATGCACCCGTATGGAATAATCCTTACCGTTTGCTTACAGACCACCAGAGCGAGTAACCTGCGCGCGTTAGCCGGAGCAAAGCAGCCACTTCCAACCGAGGGATTAGAAAACTTCCAACGACTTCCTGCCGCCATCTTATCTGCCAGGAAACTGCTTCTCTCCGCTGAACGGCACGAAGACATCGCGACGTCGCAACATCACTTATTACGATCCATTGTTTCCCGGCGAGGACGTTCCCGTGGCGATCTCGTCGCGATTGATTTAAATCCTCGATCGAGCTACGTTCGACCTGCTCGTTGACGTTCACTTCGACGTTCCTCTACGAGTGAACGCGGAGAGGACTCGCGGTTTACACAATTCGGGGGATAATTGACGTCGTTACACGCACGAGCCGAAACATCAAGGGACGTGGACGCGACGGGCTGTAGGACGGGAGGAGCGTGTCAAAGGACATCGGGCCATTCGTTTCCGGCGCGGATCGCCGGAATAAGAGAGGGGAACCGTCGTAAAAGCGTGCAAAGGGCACGCGCGCAGATCGACGTAGCGCCACGGGGACGTCGTGATATCGTTTTACGGGATTGCAGGAAGAATGACTCGCGGGAGTGATCCCCGAGTCCTGTAATAGGATTTTCGGGATCAGAGTTTTACTGGCGGGGCCGCGCGCGCGCGCGCGGTATCTTTCGGCCGCCAAGTAACGCGGGGAATTTTCAACTTCCGCAGATAGCATGCGGCTTTAATTAGCGGCTGGGTGTCCGCCGACACGAGGCAGTTTCAGCGGGATCCGCCAAGCAAATCCCGAGTTGATGACGTAAAATTCGCGGAATATTCGTCCTCGCCGCTATCGCGAATTATCTGGCTAAAGAATCCCAGCCGATGCGGACTCGAAGGCGCTCCGCTGATCGAGCTGTGTCTCGCGGGTCCTTCTCATCCCTCAGAAGTAACTAGCGAAGACAGGAAGTGCTGAAAATCCCCCGCTCAGCCAAGAGATACTCATGCGCGGCCCGGAAGATACGTCGCGATCGTATGCTAACAAGGTCCGTAGATAGAGGAACAGGACAAGTTCCTCTCATCTACTTCACACGGTTTGGCTCGAAAATGGCAGCGATCGTGGCTTAGCTGATTAACCACGTACCGTCATGTCAAAAATTATTTTCGTTTTTTGCAGTATTTTGCACTACAAACCGGCAATGCAATTGTTTTTCTTCTGAAAATTCTCACTGGTATTTTTCAATGTATTTAAACTATGTTTTCATAATTCTGTACACTCACACAATCAAATCATAATACGTACATAGTACCACCAACACGGATTAATGCGTTTAAATTATGTTTTGATTACTTCTGACTATATCTTAAATTATGTCTTGATTACTCTGTTCACTCACACAACCAAACCATAATACATATATAGTACCACCAATACAGATTTTCTGGCTCGAAAATGGCGGCCGTGAGAGGACCTTGCCTTGTCCCGTTCTTCTATCTATGGACCTTGGAATGGCTAAGAGCGGTCCCAGCCAGCCTCGAAAAGGCGTTCCGCGACTTCCATAGGGAAGAGACGAGAAAAAATACACACACACACACACACATATGCAAACACAGCAGAGCGGAAGATTTCGCCGAAAAGAATTCCGGCCTCACTGACGCGTTCAGGGCGCCCTTATTGTACAAAGTACTCCCTCGTACCCTTTTCAGGTCCGACGCGGCGCGTCGACTTTCGCGAGCGATCGAAACGTCGACTCGGCGAGCTCTCCCCTGTCTCCCCCCGCGGTAGTGCGATGTTGTCGCGATTTATTCCTCTTCGTTTTCCATATTGATGCGGCCAGAGAACGCGCAGGGAGACGCACGCGATGGCGATCAAACGATGCGGTGAAATTGAACGATGTCAACGTCACGCCATTTTGAACGACAACGATCACGTAACGCGTCCTCGGACACGATTGGATAACGATTGTTTAAAACAATCGGGGTCTTCCCGGTGTCAAGACACGTGTCAGTAAGGAGGGCAGGTTGTTCCTCGAGGAACATATCGATGAAAGGGAAACATCGATGTTTACTTATCGATGTTTTGCCGTCTCGCGATACATCGCTATCATCGGTCTTGTCTTGTCGGTGTTTTTCTCCTTGCAGATGTAATTCGTCAGTTGATTTTCTTCAGACCTTCCGCGCTCAAGCGGCTTCGAGAGAGACGTGTTCCATCTTGCACAAAGTGATGCCGCAATTTACACAAGCGGCAGCCATTTCTGTGCCGGCAAAAGGCGTGACTGATTTCGCTTCAAGCAAGCGAGTGCTGAAACAAGAAACTTTGACCTCAAGTATTATTTTTACAACGCACAAATGACAATTCGAAGAACTTTTATGGAAGCGTGATGAGTTTGTCACGAACATTCTTCGAACATTCTTCGATGAAAGTCGCTCCGAAACTACACGCTTTCTCTATACAAATCGATTCTCAAGAAACAACTTGTCTCGTCTTTTTGAAAAAGGAAGAACTATTCACTTTAAATAATCATTTTAGAATAGAACTCTTTGCGAATATAAATGCTCTGACTTTCGCACAAATTCTCAAGACCGCTGTCAACGTTTCTTCAGCTGATTTCCCTCTTATTGATTGATTCCGTCGTCCAGACAATCTTCGTTCAGTTGTTCAATCGATACCAAATGCCTAAAGCTCGCGGACAACGGACGCTGCCACAAACCTTGTGGCTCGGATGCAGCAACATGTACAAATATAATCATTGTAATCCTTGATACAATATAATCATTTGTTATTAATATTGCGCTAAATCGAATTAATCCGCCTGCAACAAAGGAATCTCATTTTTTCACAAAAAAGCACCGATGTGAACAAGCGACCGCGACTTTCGCCGGCGCGCGGAAAAACCAAGGAAGAGCTCGCCCCTCGCGTTTCCGCGGACGAGGGTAGACGCGCGCGCGCGCGCTCACTTTTTACATTTTAGGGACACACACGGTTACGTATAGGTAGTTCTGTGGGCAAACAAGCAAGCGGAGTGTTCCGAGCCGCGTTCTCACGCGAGGCGTGAGAGGCGGAGGGTACTTTGCGAGAGACTCTAGCTATGTAAACCGAAGACTCTCGAGCGAGAACGGAGAGGAGGAGATTGTCGTAGCGTATGATGTCCGTGCAAGCTTACTAGTGCCGCCGTGCTTTTCCGTTGAGTTAGTTTCGTCGCTCGTACCTATCGGACGATTTGTATGAAAGTCATCGACGTGAGTCATCGACGGCGAGCCGCGGCGCTCGGCGTCGCGCGTGACTTCGAGACGAGAAGGCGAGAGCAGGAATTTGCCGAAACGCGGCGAACGCTCCGGAGTGAGATATCGCGTCGTACCGGATCCCACATCGTCCGCCCTCCCCCCCGCTGTAAGGGTATTAAATCCGTTAGATATTGTTGCGCGCAACGCTCTATACAGCGATGAGCGTAAAAATGCAAGAGCGTCTCTCAAGCGCGAGAAGGCGCGAAACGGCGTCTCTCCATCGCTCTCTTCTTCTACCTCGCCTCCTCTTCTACCCTCGGGCTGAGGACCGAAGTCTTCATCATTCGCAGCGATTCCACGGCGAGGAGACGTTCATCTCGCAGCGATATCTCACTCCGCGCAATTCCTCGCGGCCAGTCGTCGCGACTCCGCGCGATCGCCGAGACGACGCAGCGAGTCTACGACTAGCGAACAAAGAAAGAATGTATTTTATGATATTTTACGCATAAAAGAGAAGAGAAACGATCGTGAGAATCGATATAGCGTTAGTCCAAGGTAAACTTAAGTAGAGGTGTATAAAAAGAATGACAATTCGCGCGCGTATGCGCGCGCGCTTTTTCTCTTTCTCTCTCTCTCCCCCCCCTCTCTCTCTCTCTCTTTCTTACGAGACAAGGCGCGATTCGCATGTGCAAGAGGGGAGGGGAATCGATCCTCTTGGTCCACGAGCGGTGCGTGGGGCTGCGGAATGGTGATTTGTCTCCGCGGGTCCTTCGTAGCGGCGATTTGTTTGATCAACGACGTGTGCTTTATCGATTATACGGCCAACATTTAGAGATGGAGCGATAGTAGATCAGGGAGGTAAGGAGAGGGAAGAGGGAGAAAGAGAGAGAGAGAGAGAGAGGAAAGAGCATTCCATAGGGTGCTCGATTCCTCATAGTCTCTGGCGGCCGAGCGCCCAGCCGAAATTACGATCGGACAAACAGAGCGCGCTTTCCGAAGCGCAAATTCGTGCTCGCGTCGCGACGATCGAGCGACTCGACGCCGAGAACTCGGCGCGCAGCCTCGGCCGGCGAGCGTCGCGTGGATCGGCGTAGCGCGGGACAACTCCCGGTCCCGGTCACTGGTATACTAAGCGCTACTGTAAAATACTGTATATTATTTCGCGTTGTTTATTTTTCAATGTTTTTACTAGAGACGCGCGTTTTTACGGTATTCACGGGCGACTGTCGCGTAATGTTACCAGCGAGAACACAGTGTGTGACCCGCGCCGCTCCGCGGCACCGTGCGAGTTACGACAGACTAAGACACCTGTTCGAATGAAGGATCACGAGCGCAATCGGCAGCGCTGTGTGGGAATAGAGAGAAGAAAACTGAGGAGGAGGGAGGAGGATGAGGGAGCGGGAGAAGCGTCGCAGCGCGGAAAACGCGCGGCGGTGGATGAAATATTCAAATTCGCGTACGACGCGTTCCGCCGCGCAGTCATTTCCCGATAATTAAAAAGCGACGCATCCGACATTATTATTATTATTATTGCTATCAGATTTTTCGTGTTCATTCCTGCATTTCGTCCGTTTAATCCGCGTTCCGATTCATCCCGCGATCATTGTCAATTCCATCAACCGCTCCTCGCCGGGAGAGATTACCGGCGCGGAAGAATTGTAGATCATAATTATCCCGTGCGATATATCGATCGCTCGATACTCCATTTCAGTGTCCGTCTCCAGGTGTCGCGAAGAGCGATACTCTTTCTCTCTTTCTCTCTCTCTCTCTTTCCCGTTGCTTCCCGCAGACACTCTTTTTTTCCCCACCGGTTTCCGTAACAACGATCCGCCTCTCCCCCTGTCCCCCGCGCTCTTCACCCCTTTCACTAATTTACGTCGCGGAAGGACTTTAAACAATTCACGAACCGGCAAACTCCATTACTCGGTCACTGTCCAACGTGTCGCTCTCTCACGGTATCGCGGACCAGCGGGATAAGTATGTTTGTAAAACTGCAGCGTATCTCCAAGCAGCTTTCGCAGTGTGTGAGCTAAAAGCGAATTCGGAGCAAAACTAGTCTAGGGCACATTTAAGAGCGTACGGCTTGGGCGCAGAGAAATATTACGAGCGTAAGGTCCGTCTTCGGCGCGAAACAACGTGCTTTTGAGGAGGAGGAGAATATTCCGGGCATACGGAAAGTTCTTTCGCGAGGACGTCTCTGCTCGTATCGAGGCGTAATTCGCGGCGATCTGGTGGTTAATGAAAAATTGTCTGCACGAGTATTACTCCCCGAGCGTTCCAGACGTCGCCGAGTGTCATCGTTGGGTCGTTCGCTGACGAGGAAACGAAGAAAAAAGAAACCGTATTTTGATTATCGAGGGACACCGCGACTGTTGCTGCGAATCGCCGGGGGTCGTTGAAGAGATTCGTTGTGAAATTTCGGAAATGTTAATATATTCTTGAGAACAAATCATGTGGAGGATATTCGTTTGATGTAAAATTCGCGAGAAGAAAATATAGAATATCTGTTGAATCGCGGAAAAACGACGAGTCTTCGCGCGAAGACGAGTCGCGTAAATTTCGGAAGGCGTGGAAGCGCACCGGGAGTGTAAAAAAAAGAAAAAGTCCGTCGCAGCCTCGAGTGCGCGAGAGTGTCGTTTCTCAAAAGCATCGGATGTCTCGAAAGTGAGCAGTCAGACGGACGCGAGTCAGCGCGCATGAGACGCACGTCCGTGCGTCTCGGCGATAGTCTTATAGTAAAGGGACTACGCGCACTGTGAACTAATATGGCTAATTCTAGCAGCACGAAGTATTAACGTTAATAGCGAAATTATTGTAAGGGAGACGTAACGGCGAATTATTAATAAACCATAGATCAGCAACGGTGCGACCCGAAGCGGTCTTACTCGGTCGCATTTCGGCGAGACCAAAATGTGCTCCAAGTGGCGGATATAAATGGAGAAATGCGACGATCCCCCTTTTATTCCGATAATCGGCCGGTCTTTGGAGGATTTTACGCGGCGGCATCAAATTTTCACGCTCGTGACGATCGTTCGCACAAGTATGCAATAAAAGTTTCACTCTTTACCTCAAGGTATTGAATTTTTTCGCCGAATATGAAATCGAATGTCTACCGTGTGTTGCACTACTTTCAATTATTGAAGAGAAACGCGGAATCGTGTACAATTGCAGAGAGGTCGATGACGAAATTTCGAAAAATGCAAATTGATGAATGTCCAAACTTCGCAATCTGATCAAAAATCGATTTTTGATCAGACAAGATATGAATGTTGCAGGGTGTAACATCAACATACACATAAGTATGACGGGTTGTTTGCCCCTAGAAATTATTTAGAATTTATTAAATTTGTATGAAATTTATTTCTATTTAAGAAATTATGAGAAACCGGAAAATACGTTGTATTATTTATCTCTTTAACTATTACTCTCTCAAAGTGAATCAGCGAAACTCACTGTCAATTAGTGGTGTATAATCGCTGATTGACAGTGAGTTTCACTGATTCACTTTGAGAGAGTACTCTTATTTATTCTGCTTAATTCTGTAATATTATTTATTGCTCAGTTTCATTTTATTAAATATCTTCTTTGTTTTTTAATTTCTTTCAATTTTCTAATTAATTTTTCAATGAGGCTCGACTTCTGTCAATCCAATGGTCAATAAACTGTCATAATAATCACGGTGCAACGTTAGTTGCATTTGTCATAACTGGGAGCACTGCAAATATCATTATCAACAAAGTTAACGAGTGACTTTTTCAGCAATCTGCATTATTGCCTCGAATAGGAGCAAGCAATCCGCTACACTAACCTGTATGTTAATATTACACCCTGTATATATTTGAGGAAAAAAGAAAGGAAAGAAAGAAATGAAATCTTCAAAGCACGTGCTGATTATTTGAGGAGGGTCTCTCTTCATTCAGATCTGCCACCGGATCGAATTATTGGGCATCGCGGACAAAGAATAGCGTACATAAGGCACAAGATGATTTTTATTGTCATCTTTCGTTCGTACATCCCACGTTCGTATACGAGCGAGGCAGATTACGATTGAATGTTACGTTGATCATTCGGGCCCCACGGGTGTATTTGTATAAAATATGTCTCGTTTAAATTTGAGGAAGAGCGCAGCGCTCGAGTTACGTTTGAAATTACGCGTGACCCGGAACCGCTTCGGCTCCGGAACGACGCGCGATGCAAAGTTTGTTAGGAAACGATTGAGATCGAGTATCGGTATTGATATCGAGAATTCGTGTGAGAAGCTTTACGCTGAAAGATGCTAACCGATCGCCACGAGGAGTCGGCGATGTGAAAATACTTTATTCTAGTCGTATTTCTCATGCTTTGCCAAGTAACCTAATGTAACTCCTGTGTTAAGTGTAACGATCAATTATGTTTTAATAAAATCTGCCAAGATTCTTGTCAATGTCATGCACCCCTTTTTACTGTTGCTGTAACTCTCGCGTGATTGTCAATTAGATCATACATTTTCCTATTTCTTTATACTAATACTGAACGATATTCTTACTGGTAAAACTGATAGAACTCTGATGAAAATATAAAAACTCGAAGCTACATATCTATAAGCTATATAAATGAATTTTCATGTATTAAAAAATTTACATATAGTGGTGATTTTTAATCTCGTCGATCGTACATTTAAATATCACCTTAACAGGAAGTAATTAACAAGTCACTTTTTTATCGAAGACATAAAAGCTTCGTTTTCGTCTTACATTCTAAGTGATTGTTGTCGGCTATCTTTGTCAATTGTCATTCATTAGTAATATAATCTATAGTTAATTCCTCCTTCTCTGAACGTGCTATGTACTAGCTATGTAGCTGATAGTCTATTGATTAGTTTCTCTTTTTTAATATATTCATATAAAATATTTTTCTAAGACATACTTAAACTTGTTACACATTAGATAAAATAGCAAGTCTTTGATAGCCATGTTCAACATAAGCCTATACAATGGCCACGTTCAGCAGACAAAGCTGCTTATTAAACGCTTAGTGATTATTAATGATTGGAGTATTCTTTTACAAATCCAAGGAAATGAACCAATCAGGAGCGATAATCACTAAGCGCTTAGTAAGCAGCTATTTCTGTTGAACGCAGCCAATGCAAAATGAAAGTTGGATGACTATTGAATATGAAAAAAACAGGAAACAAATAAGTTCAAGTATTCTTATAACTCACTATAGTTTCCATTTTATGGATAGAGGTCGAGAATGACCTAAGCTGTACTTCTTGACTATTTGCAATAAATACTGGTTGAGTCTCGTCCCATTTGTTGGGAATATTGCAGTCAGATACAGTGTATGTAAGTATGTCGAAAGAGCATTGGCAATCCAAGAGTGGTAAGAAACTTACTGTACCTGTGAAAACATTCGATATTACTAACAAAAAGGAGATTTTGCTTAAATTCTCTGTGAATTCCAATTCTACCTGTAATCTGACGTATTACTTCTCGTATCTCCTTCTGTATAGTCTTCGAGTCCTTTGTTCCTATTTCAGGCAAGTCGGCCTTAACATTGCTATCAACTCCGTTTGGCTTCTGGTCTTCGTACTCGACCTTAAAATCCCACTTTTCCAACACCTCTTTAGTGTTGACATTTGTTATGACAAGGACAATCTTGTGTACTTTGCGCTGAATCAACCACTCTTGGATCTGTCCCAGGACGGTGTCTAAGAAGGATGTGATTTTATCATCCGTAGACATAAAGATAAACAGACCGAAATGCTCGGCAGGCTGGAACATCTCCGGAGGATATATTCCTCTTTGATAAAGTATACTGTTGACTCCATATACTGCAACGAGACGGTAGGATTCAAAATTGTATACCTCGTAGCCGGCATCGCACGCAATTGACGAGGTTATACTTACGCAAGTATTGTTTCACCAATTCGGCGGAGCCTTTCAAAGTAATGCACTTTGCCTTCTGTTGTGTCTCCGTCATAATCCGCGGAAATCTTGGAGTAAAAGGAACTCACAATCAAATTATACGATATCGAACTGCAAGTTTCCGAGAAACAATTACACATGCACAGACGCCCTTGTATGATTAAATCCTACCAATCAGGTGCCAGTGCGCCAAATGACCGTTACTGTGAGTTTGGGAGAGTACGCATGATTCGTCAGGGAGATTCACATTTGGACAGAAAAGCAGAAAGCAGAAAAGGCAGCAGCCAATCAGAAGTCGCGCTAGTAGTCTGTCTCTCTCTTGATGAGAGACTATAGACCAGTTCTTTTTCGCTGCACTGCTGCATTGGTGCAATAAGTTAGAGTGAGACAAATATTTACTTGTTTCACTCTAACTTATTGCACCAGTGCAGCAGTGCACCGAAAAAGGACAGACCTTACGGTTCCAACAGAGAGAAACATGAAAGCGGCCAATACGGCGTTTTCGGCGACACCGACTTTCCGCAATGTGAAAGGGCGCCATCTGCATCCATTTTGAGAGGAGAATTACGATGCTACATCTAATTTTAGTTTCGGCGGTAAAACCTACATGTACTGGCAGTCCGTATTACATCCATTTTCAGACGGTTTATGTCCGTGCTACAACCATAATAGCGTATTTGACAAGCACGGTCGCCCACATTGTTAATATCTCCGCTTCTATTGAGAATTGAAAGTCGAGTTTTATGGTGAGAATAGTGTTGATATAGGACTATATTGTGACAAAAGCGCATTCCTGTATCTTGCACCGTTTAGAAAATATCGAAGGTAACATTTTTAATTTTATGTTCATATCTCCTTCCCTATTGCAAATTGAGAGTCGAGCTTCATCGTGAGAATAGGGTTAATAAAGCACTATATTGTGGCAAAAAAACGTGCCTGTATCTTGAGCCGCATAGGAGATATCGAAGGTTAAAGTATTTAAAATTATACCATTAATATCTCCGCTTCCACGGGGAATAGAGTCAGCAATTAGGGCAAGAATAGGGGTGACATAGGACTATATTGTGGTAAAAAAGCAGGCCTGTATTTTAAGCCATTTAGGAGATACCGAAAGTTAAAGTTTTTCAAATTGTATCGTTAATATCTCCGCCTCTACTGGGAATTGACAGTCGAGATTATGGTGAGAATAGGGTAGATAAAGGAATATATTATGGCAAAAAACGGGCCTGTATCATAAGCCGTTTAGGAGATATCGAAGGCTAAAGTTTTCCAACCTTTCTCAGTTGATATCTCCGCTTCTACTGGGAGTAGAGAATCGCCATTTACGGCAAAATGTAGGGTTTTCAGAGGACTTTAATTTGGTACCAGAGCCAGGCCTGTATCTCTAACCGTTTAGGAGATATCGAAGGTTAAAGTTTTACAGCCTTTCTCCGTCGATATCCAGCCTTCCTCCGTCGATATCTCCGCTTCTACTGGGAGTAGAGAGCTTGACATGTAGTCGAAAATGTAGGATTTTGAAAGGACTATAATTTGGTACCAGAGCCAAGCCTGTATCTCTAACCGTTGAGGAGATATCCAAGATTAAAGTTTTCCAACCTTTCTCCGTTGATATTTCCGCTTCTACTGGGAGTAGAGAGTCGCCATTTACGGCAAAATGTAGGGTTTTGAGAGGACTTTAATTTGGTACCAGAGCCAGGCCTGTATCTGTAACCATTTAGGAGATATCGAAGGTTAAAGTTTTCCAGCCTTTCTCAATCGATATCCAGCCTTCATCCGTCGATATCTCCGCTTCTAATGGGAGTAGAGAGTCGTCCATGTAGTCCAAAATGTAGGGTTTTGAACGGGCTTTAATTTGGTACCTGTCCGAAACCTGTATCTCTAACCGTTTAGGAGATATCGAAGTTTAAAATTTTCCAACCTTTCTCCGTCGATATCCAGCCTTCATCCGTCGATATCTCCGCTTCTACTGGGAGTAGAGGGTCGTTCATGTAGTCCAAAATGTAGGGTTTTGAACGGGCTTTAATTTGGTACCTGTCCGAAGCCTGTATCTCTAACCGTTTAGGAGATATCGAAGTTTAAAGTTTTCCAACCTTTCTCCGTCGATATCCAGCCTTCATCCGTCGATATCTCCGCTTCTACTGGGAGTAGAGGGTCGTTCATGTAGTCCAAAATGTAGGGTTTTGAACGGGCTTTAATTTGGTACCTGTCCGAAGCCTGTATCTCTAACCGTTTAGGAGATATCGAAGTTTAAAGATTTCTAACCTTTCTCCGTCGATATCCAGCCTTCATCCGTCGATATCACCGCTTCTACTGGGAGTAGAGAGTCGTCCATGTAGTCCAAAATGTAGGGTTTTGAAAGGGCTTTAATTTGGTACCTGTCCGAAGCCTGTATCTCTAACCGTTTAGGAGATATCGAAGGTTGAAGATTTCCAACCGTTCTCCGTCGATATCTCCGCTTCTACTGGGAGTAGAGAGTCGTCCATGTAGTCCAAAATGTAGGGTTTTGAAAGGGCTTTAATTTGGTACCAGTCCGAAGCCTGTATCTCTAACCGTTTAGGAGATATCGAAGGTTAAAGTTTTCCAACCTTTCTCCGTCGATATCCAGCCTTCATCCGTCGATATCTCCGCTTCTACTGCGAGTAGAGGGTCGTTCATGTAGTCCAAAATGTAGGGTTTTGAACGGGCTTTAATTTGGTACCTGTCCGAAGCCTGTATCTCTAACCGTTTAGGAGATATCGAAGTTTAAAGTTTTCCAACATTTCTCCGTCGATATCCAGCCTTCATCCGTCGATATCTCCGCTTCTACTGGGAGTAGAGGTTCGTTCATGTAGTCCAAAATGTAGGGTTTTGAACGGGCTTTAATTTGGTACCTGTCCGAAGCCTGTATCTCTAACCGTTTAGGAGATATCGAAGGTTAAAGTTTTCCAACCTTTCTCCGTCGATATCCAGCCTTCATCCGTCGATATCTCCGCTTCTACTGGGAGTAGAGGGTCGTTCATGTAGTCCAAAATGTAGGGTTTTGAAAGGGCTTTAATTTGGTACCTGTCCGAAGCCTGTATCTCTAACCGTTTAGGAGATATCGAAGGTTGAAGATTTCCAACCTTTCTCCGTCGATATCTCCGCTTCTACTGGGAGTAGAGAGTCGTCCATGTAGTCCAAAATGTAGGGTTTTGAAAGGGCATTAATTTGGTACCAGTCCGAAGCCTGTATCTCTAACCGTTTAGGAGATATCGAAGGTTAAAGTTTTCCAACCTTTCTCCGTCGATATCCAGCCTTCATCCGTCGATATCTCCGCTTCTACTGCGAGTAGAGGGTCGTTCATGTAGTCCAAAATGTAGGGTTTTGAACGGGCTTTAATTTGGTACCTGTCCGAAGCCTGTATCTCTAACCGTTTAGGAGATATCGAAGTTTAAAGTTTTCCAACATTTCTCCGTCGATATCCAGCCTTCATCCGTCGATATCTCCGCTTCTACTGGGAGTAGAGGTTCGTTCATGTAGTCCAAAATGTAGGGTTTTGAACGGGCTTTAATTTGGTACTGTCCGAAGCCTGTATCTCTAACCGTTTAGGAGATATCGAAGGTTAAAGTTTTCCAAACCTTTCTCCGTCGATATCCAGCCTTCATCCGCGAATCTCCGCTTCCTACTGGGAGTAGAGGTCGTTCATGTAGTCCAAAATGTAGGGTTTTGAACGAGCTTTAATTTGGTACCTGTCCGAAGCCTGTATCTCTAACCGTTTAGGAGATATCGAAGTTTAAATTTTCCAACCTTTCTCCGTCGATATCCAGCCTTCATCCGTCGATATCTCCGCTTCTACTGGGAGTAGAGGGGCGTTCATGTAGTCCCAAAATGTAGGGTTTTGAAAGGGCTTTAATTGGGTAACTGTCCGGATAAGCCTGTATCTCTAACCGTTTAGGAGATACCGAAGGTTGAAGATTTCCAACCTTTCTCCGTCGATATCTCCGCTTCTACTGGGAGTAGAGATGTCCGTCCATGTAGTACACAAATGTAGGGTTTTGAAAGGGCTTTAATTTGGTACCTGTCCGAAGCCTGTATCTCTAACCGTTTAGGAGATATCGAAGGTTAAAGTTTTCTAACCTTTCTCCGTCGATATCCAGCCTCATTCGTCGATATCTCCGCTTCTATTGGGAGTAGAGGGTCGTCATTGTAGTCCAAAATGTAGGGTTTTGAAAGGGCTTTAATTTGGTACCTGCCGAAGCCTGTATCTCTAACCGTTTAGGAGATATCGAAGGGTTAAATTTTCTAAGCTTTCGTCGATATCCAGCCTTCATCACCCTTTCAAAACCCTACATTTTGACTACAAATGGACAACCTCCTCTCCCAATAGATGCGGAGATATCAGCGATGAAGGCTGGATATCACGAAAAAGCGTTAAGAAAACTTTATACCTTCGATATCTCCCAAAACTGTTAAGATACAGGTTCGACCAGTACCAAATTAAAGCCCTTTCAAAACCCTACATTTTGGACTACAATGACGACCCTCTACTCCCAATAGAACGGGAATATCCGACGATAAGACGTGATATCGACGAGAAAGGTTAGAAAACGTAACCTTCGATATTCCTAAACGGTAGAGATACAGCTCGGACAGGTACCCAAATTAAGCCCTTTCGAAAACCCTTACATTTTGACCTACAATTGACGACCCCTCTACTCCCAATAGACGCGAGAATCGACGGATGAAGCTTTGATATCGACGAGAAAGGTAGAAAAACTTGTAACCTTCGATATCTCCCTAAACGTTAGAATACAGGCTTCGGAACAGTACCAAATTAAAGCCCTTCAAAACCCTACATTTTGACTACATGACGACCCTCACTCCAATAGAAGCGGATGATAATCGAGCATGAAGGTCTGGATATCGACTGGAAAGTTCGAAAATCGTAACCTTCAATATCTCCTAAACGTTAGAGATACAGCTTCGGACAGGTACCAAATTAAAGCCCTTTCTAAAACCCTACATTTTGGACTACAATGACGACCCTCTACTCCCAATAGAAGCGGAGATATCGACGGGATGAAGGCTGGATATCGACGGAGAAAGGTAACTCTAACCTTCGATATCTCCTAAACGGTTAGAGATACAGGCTTCGACAGTGGATAACCAATAAAGCCTTTCAAAACCCTACATTTGGACTACAATGACGACCCTCTACTCCCAATAGAACGCGGAGCATTCGACG